TCTGCTCAAGTTCAGAGCAATGGTCATATTTGGGGTCAGGAAGGAATGTTACCCCATGGTCAGATGGATACCAACTGCAGGGTTTTGCCTTCCTCTGTAGTCGGCGGGTGCGGGGAGGTGCTCTCTACTCAGGATCTCTTGAGCATATATGGACATTTCATAGAAATAGGACATTGGCTGCTGTGGTTCCCCTGTTTTACCTGTGTCAGGTTAGGAAGTTAGGTCTGTGTTGTGTCAAGGTTGATGGTAGTCTTAGTTAGAGTTTAGATTATGGGTTGGGCAGGGATGGTCCTGCCTACAGGCAGGGGTTGTGCTAGATGACCCGTGGAGGTCCCTTCCAGCCCGACTTCTCTATGATTCTAGTCACTCGGGGACGCAGAGTCCATCCTGCTTAAGGTTCTCAGGCCAATGGTTGTTGCTTGGTGGATATGCCGAATGCAAGCACTTTGAGAAGACACTTAGATCTGTGAGCCAAGTCTGGTAGTGCTGAGAAAATAAATCACATTCTAATTAAAAATGGAGGCTTATAAATCTCCGTATGCACCTTGGTTACCTACTGCTAGAGAAATTGTTAAGGCTACAAGAGACCGCTTCCCCCAGAGCACAGGGAACAGGTAATGGAAAAAGGGAGCCCTAGTGTTTCTGCATTTATAATATCATATGGCAATTTCTGCTTTAGACTGCTTAACCTTCAAAACTAAGTGGAGGAGCCTTTGAAGACTAAATAATTGTAGCTACTTATACTTTTTGCAGGAGAGCTCCTTTCCAGCATGCTATGCAATGTTCGCATTAAGTGTGCGAACACGATGCACAAGATAAACCAAGAGATTTCAAATAGGAATCCAGTGTTAAAAACATTCTGCCCTGCTGTGGTATTTCGGAGTTGTTTTGTAACAGAAGAATTGCACCATAGTTTTTCTGTAGTCAAAAATAAGTGAAGACTAACTAACAGTTGCATTTTCCAAGTGGTGCCTTCCACTATCCAGGTATGCCTCAAGTCTAAACAGGTTGCAAACCACTGGTTTAGAAGGTTTTTGATGTATACAGAAGTGAATTTCCCTTGAGTGGGTTAGAGCAGCATTGAGCTTCATGATTATTCCTGTGAACAGGTTGCCCTGCAGATTATTGTGGATTGATTCTCCAATATGGTATTAAGAAGGGGACAGTGGACTCCTGACTGGATTGATGTGTACCTCAGATCAAAATCAGTCCCAAACAAACCTGCCGACGGCCACCCGACCGTGAATTTCCTTGGGGGCACATTCAGGGATTCTGAACATTCCCCAGCCTGAACCTTGCATAATTTACTCCGACTGGTTCTGGGTTTCTCGCTGTGTCAGAGGAACACAAGCGGCATCCAGACATGTTAGTTCTTAAACCAACCAGTGAGAAGGGCTGAGAGCAGTTGCATGAAATTCAAGTTTCTGAAAAGAATGTCCGTTTTAATTAAATTAGTCCTACCCATTAGGTTCAATGCGAGGCCGTGCCATCTGGGGAGATCCAGCCTTAGGTTCTAGAGGAGCAAAAGTAAACACAGAGAAAAATGCTTAGTGACTTGGGATGACAACTGCATTATTAAATATGTAAAGCCCCTGGCAAAGCAGTTGGCTTGCCAAAGACTTGTTTTAACAATTTCCCTTCTATTCTCTGGGCTCAAATCTGCTTCCATTGAAGTCAACTGGAGTTTTGTAGTTGATTTCAGAGAGAAAAGGGCTCGGCCCTTAATTTCCAATGACATTTGCTTCAATCAGTCACAGTTGCTTGCTCTTTGACTAATTCCTTCCTCTCTCTCCCGCAGTTCAGCAACACAATCAGAGCTCCTGATTTCCTCCACTTCCTGGTGAAATCTGGAAGCCTGGCTTTAAAAAAAGGGGGAGAGAACAATTCTGTGATGAAGGCCCTGACCCACGACACAGGAATTCTGATTAAATATCTTTCTTGTTACCATCTCACTGCGGGACTCTGGACAAAGCACTTGATTTCTCTGTGGCTTAGTCCCCGACCTGTAAACTAAGAGTAGCAATACTTCCCTAACTTGGGTTACAAGGATAAATTAGGTAATGTTCTTGAGATACCGAGAAGCAGTGCATGCCATATAAGGCCTTAGGAGAGCAGTTCTCAGCATTTTTACACTCAAGACACCCCACAATAGATTTGAGGCATGCCTCGATAGACTCAAGGCACCTCTTGGCAAATGTCAGCCCTTAATTTTCACCTTTTTTTTTTCCTACAGAAAAATAATAAAGCATCCTTCTGTTGCAAAGAATTAAAAAAAGATCACAACATGTTAGGTTGTTTTTCATACTATAGATCCCCTGTTAGAAAACTCTGATTTCATCCTGTGAATCATTTTTGTGCATGTAACATTGCTAACATTGTGCAGTACCCAATGGCATCCTGGTTGAGAATTGCTGCCTTAGGGTTTAACTACACATGGAGTTATTCTTGATTAATTTTATCCATGGACATACTTATCCTGGGACAAGAATATTCACACATGGAGTTTATTAGTTTATTAACTCCAGGAGGAGACGAGTCCTCACAGAGGAAAAATAAATGTTTGGCAGAAGCTTCAGTGATTGCTGTGCATTGAGAGCATTAACTTTGTAAGAAAGAATGGGATGAGATTTTACTACTGGTTATTAAGCGCCAATTGCACACTAGGAGTTCTCTCAAAAAAGTGAAATAGCTGGATGACTTCTTTATAACCTGCAGAAATGAGCATTAAGTATTGTTTTAAATTAAATGTTTAAGACACGGAGCTCCTGCCTTTAGCGTGTAGCATTCTAAAGCAAAAGGCAAATAAATATTCATCTGAAATATTATTTGGATTACAAGAATTGTTGGATCTCAACGTTTCACATCACCTACAAAGAATTCAAGCGACTGTTCTGTTTGAGGGTAGGAAATAACAACCAGGTAAGTTTTCAAGTGCACTACACTCTCAAAACCTCTCGGGTGAGGGGAAACCCCTTTCAGGGGGGCTAATTTTAAACCAGTTTGAAGTCTCACCTCTTGAGATGACGGGCTTTGCTGTTTCAGTTCATCCATTTCTAATCTATTTGCTCCTGCTGGGACTTAAAGCTAGAGGTTCCTGGCTAAAGGTTTTGCCCCTCTGCTCAGGGTCAGACTGGGCAGATTTGGGGTCAGGAAGGAATTTTACCCCATGGTCAGGCTGGTAGGAACTGCAGGGGCTTGGGGCTTCCCCCGTAGCAGGGGGCGCATCTCTACCGGGGATCTCTCCTGCCTGTATTAACGACCTTTTATAGAAGCAAGGAATTGGCTGCTGGGGGTCCCCAGCTTTAGGGGTGGCAGGTTCAGATGTTAGGTCTGTGTTGACAGATGATGGTTTGTAGGGGATGGCTTGAAGAGGGATGATCCTGCCTCGGGCAGGACTAAATGACCTCTGGCGGTCCCTTCCAGCCCGACCCCGCAATTCTGATGACCGCGCCGATCACCGTGACACCTGAGCATCGCCGGCCATTGCGCTCCAAACTTTGTGAACGTCTGCTCAGGCAGCCCAGCCCTGGCTGCAGTCAAAAAGAAAACAGAACCGGTCGGTGGGAATTTCAAATCCAGGCACCCTGCCACGCTCACCGCTGCGCGCTCTCGCCACCGCCTGGGTCCCGGAGCAGCCTTGCCACCAAATCCAGAAGCAGTGCCAGCTCGCAGAGAGGTGCCCCCGGGGCCAGTCCTGCCCCTTCTCCCCCCGCGCGCCGTGGCAAGCAGGCAGCTCCCAGGCGCCAGTCCTTCAGCTAGGGGCACAGCGCTGACGGGGCTTTTCCTGCCGTGGCAAGGGCAGCAGGGACCTGCCAGCTCGAGCCCTAAGCCTGACGTGATTCTCCCGCTTGTGTCGCCT